AGTGTCACATCAAACAGGGTAGCAGCACAGTGCTCTGAGTGTCACATCAAACAGGGTAGCAGCACAGTGCTCTGAGTGTCACATCAAACAGGGTAGCAGCACGGTGCTCTGAGTGTCACATCAAACAGGGTAGCAGTACGGTGCTCTGAGTGTCACATCAAACAGGGTAGCAGCACAGTGCTCTGAGTGTCACATCAAACAGGGTAGCAGCACAGTGCTCTGAGTGTCACATCAAACAGGGTAGCAGCACAGTGCTCTGAGTGTCACATGAAACAGGGTAGCAGCACAGTGCTCTCTGAGTGTCACATCAAACAGGGTAGCAGCACAGTGCTCTCTGAGTGTCACATCAAACAGGGTAGCAGCACAGTGCTCTCTGAGTGTCACATCAAACAAGGTAGCAGCACAGTGCTCTGAGTGTCACATCAAACAGGGTAGCAACACAGTGCTCTGAGTGTCACATCAAACAGGGTAGCAGCACAGTGCTCTCTGAGTGTCACATCAAAACAGGGTAGCAGCACAGTGCTCTGAGTGTCACATCAAACAGGGTAGCAGCACAGTGCTCTCTGAGTGTCACATCAAACAGGGTAGCAGCACAGTGCTCTGAGTGTCACATCAAACAGGGTAGCAGCACAGTGCTCTCTGAGTGTCACATCAAACAGGGTAGCAGCACAGTGCTCTCTGAGTGTCACATCAAACAGGGTAGCAGCACAGTGCTCTGAGTGTCACATCAAACAGGGTAGCAGCACAGTGCTCTGAGTGTCACATCAAACAGGGTAGCAGCACAGTGCTCTGAGTGTCACATCAAACAGGGTAGCAGCACATTGCTCTGAGTGTCACATCAAACAGGGTAGCAGCACAGTGCTCTGAATGTCACATCAAACAGGGTAGCAGCACAGTGCTGATGCATTCACTTTACTTACATCCAAACATATCTAAGTGTACAGTAATAGGCAACTTTATTTTATATTAAAATACGGGAATAAGCAACAGTTATGCTGGAGTGCAACTTATGGTAATTATCAGATATGAAGAAATGGAAACAAACACATATGCAGTTTAATGTGATCCTTTATTGACAACGTTTCGCCCACACAGTGGGCTTTTTCAAGTCACAAACAGATCTGCCTGGGGTGGAAGGTACCTCTCATTCAGAGGAAATGAGTAACGTTGTTTATTAAAAAATTAGTAATCCTAATTTTTTTTAATAATTATTTAATAAAACCATGTGTCTTATTCAGCTTGTTTAACACAGCAACAACGTAGCCAAGTGTTGCACGTGGGTCTTATTTATTGACTGAAAAGTTGTATATAGCTTCTGCGAGGTCCCGGCAGGTACCTTGGAGCACTAACATATATTAATCTATATTGGCAGAAGTAGCAAGCACTGATTGCAATGCTATCTTCTAAAATCTGCATAGAGAGGGGCAGGATCACTGGCAAGTAGGTGACCCCTGTGACGTATGTACCAGTCACAGAGAAGTGAAGGATTACTGGCAAGCAGGTGGTCCCTGTTACCCTGTTACATATATACGAGTCACAGAGAGGTGAATGATCACTGGTAAGCAGGTGACCTTGGATCAGGTGTGTACACCCCTATCTTATTTGTACCGAGAATTGTCTCGAAGTGACGGTTCTTCTGTAATGTGTAAGATAAAACACCCGTCCTGCTGAACCCCGTTCGACTTGTTCCTCGTCTCTAGGGTCCACTGGGCCCCCGTCACTTCCCCAGGACATACTGACGCATGTGCCTCATAAAGTCACTGCTATAAAGCTCATTTTATAGTGTATTAAGGTCTTTGCCTCAGCAACAGTCTGTGCATTACCCGGGAACCAGACAAGTCCAGGCTCAAACATGACTCCGGATGTTAGTTCTGGGTGTGAATGATCTTAATTATAATAATAACAATTATTATTATTATCGTACTCACAGAAGACGTTAAATTTAGCGTAAAGCAAGCAAGTCACTTGCCTCGGAGAAGATCGCTGACTTGTCAAAACTTAATGCTAAAAGCATTGTCCAAGTCGGTATTATTATTATTATTATTATTATTTATTATTATTATTATTATTATTATTATTATTATTATTATTATTATTATTATTATTATTAATATTATTATTATTATTATTATTATTATTTTTATTATTATTATTAATATTATTATTATTATTATTATTATTATTATTATTACCTGGAGTTTACCTGGAGAGAGTTTCGGGGGTCAACGCCCCCGCGGCCCGGTCTGTGACCAGGCCTCCTGGTGGATCAGCGCCTGATCAACCAGGCTGTTGCTGCTGGCTGCACGCAAACCAACGTACGAGCCACAGCCCGGCTGATCAGGAACTGACTTTAGTTGCTTGTCCAGTGCCAGCTTGAAGACTGCCAGGGGTCTGTTGGTAATCCCCCTTATGTGTGCTGGGAGGCAGTTGAACAGTCTCGGGCCCCTGACACTTATTGTATGGTCTCTTAACGTGCTAGTGACACCCCTGCTTTTCATTGGGGGGATGGTGCATCGTCTGCCAAGTCTTTTGCTTTCGTAGTGAGTGATTTTCGTGTGCAAGTTTGGTACTAGTCCCTCTAGATTTTCCAGGTGTATATAATCATGTATCTCTCCCTCCTGCGTTCCAGGGAATACAGGTTTAGAAACCTCAAGCGCTCCCAGTAATTGAGGTGTTTTATCTCCGTTATGCGCGCCGTGAAAGTTCTCTGTACATTTTCTAGGTCGGCAATTTCACCTGCCTTGAAAGGTGCTGTTAGAGTGCAGCAATATTCCAGCCTAAGATAGAACAAGTGACCTGAAGAGTGTCATCATGGGCTTGGCCTCCCTAGTTTTGAAGGTTCTCATTATCCATCCTGTCATTTTTCTAGCAGATGCGATTGATACAATGTTATGGTCCTTGAAGGTGAGATCCTCCGACATAATCACTCCTAGGTCTTTGACGTTGGTGTTTCGCTCTATTTTGTGGCCAGAATTTGTTTTGTACTCTGATGAAGATTTAATTTCCTCATGTTTACCATATCTGAGTAATTGAAATTTCTCATCGTTGAACTTCATATTGTTTTCTGCAGCCCACTGAAAGATTTGGTTGATGTCCGCCTGGAGCCTTTCAGTGTCTGCAATGGAAGACACTGTCATGCAGATTCGGGTGTCATCTGCAAAGGAAGACACGGTGCTGTGGCTGACATCCTTGTCTATGTCGGATATGAGGATGAGGAACAAGATGGGAGCTAGTACTGTGCCTTGTGGGACAGAGCTTTTCACCGTAGCTGCCTCGGACTTTACTCTGTTGACGACTACTCTCTGTGTTCTGTTAGTGAGGAAATTATAGATCCATCGACCGACTTTTCCTGTTATTCCTTTAGCGCGCATTTTGTGCGCTATTACGCCATGGTCACACTTGTCGAAGGCTTTTGCAAAGTCTGTATATATTACATCTGCATTCTTTTTGTCTTCTAGTGCATTTAGGACCTTGTCGTAGTGATCCAGTAGTTGAGACAGACAGGAGCTGTGCTCAAGTTTTTAAGATTATTTATAATCACTGTGGTTAAGTTTAATAATATTAACGTAGGTGTTCCCTCATTCATGTGTAAGATACCTGTGAAACGTTTCGCCTATGTTGCTGAAGAAACGATCTGTCAGTAAATATTGCTAGTGTGCCCATGTGTCTTACTCTTCAACTTGACGGTGTTGGATGCCATTTGTAATATACAAGATGCGTATGATTTGCAATACTACTGTTATTGTCACAGCAATGCAACATTCTGCAGTGGTTCAGACCTGCATATTGTATGTTGCAACTCATTCAGTACTCCTGCAGACTATATTTCCCTCTAAGCTGTCCTGTGCTGGTGTTGAGCGCTCTCTGGGTAGGTTAAGTGCATCAAGAAAATACGAACACGCAATCTTCATATCAACACACATGTGTCCAACATGGTAGCATACATAGTCATCTCATGAAATGGGAAGTAGCGGAGTTACTGATCAAGGAGAATGATTTACTGAGACGTCAACGCCTGCAAATCTCAGTGATTTTTTTATTTTTAACACAATCATATAAAGCTCGGAGAGCTTTAGTACATCCATTATTCTCGTCAAACTGATTCTGCACGATGTAAATACTGCCAACAGGTGGCATAAGAGTGAAGCAGCACTGCATTGGCCTACTGGCCCATGCTAGGCAGTCTTCTCAATTGCAAGCTCCACCCAGTCATCTCTGATAGGTGACCTTAATCTGTCTTTCCGAAGAGCACCAGACCTTTCTCTCCACTATATTATTTTATATATGTATCTTTGTATGAGGATCACTAAAGGTACTAGTGGGGAAATGTGTCTTTCAATGTGTTGAGTGTATGTATGTCTTATTCCCAGAAACTGACGGTATTAACATGTACATCATATCCAACCATTCTTAAGGCCACCCAGAGTTCTCGCGTCAGTGAGGCTACTTGGTCATTTATCCCATGAAGAAGACAAATATTTTCTTCGAAATATTGCCCAAGGATAACTCAAGAGAGCCAAGCAATGTAGTTTATTACAGTTGAGATGCGACCTACAACAGTCAACTAACTCTTCTGCTGCTCACCTTAACCCTGGGTGTGCAGTAAGTAAGTTTATTCAGGTATACACAAATACAGTTACATAGAATTATCATACATAGCAGCATATGTGTAGAGAACATGGGATAACCCAAAAACGTCAGACAGAGTGACTTATTTCCATTAGGGTCGATTGGATATAACGAAATCTGCACCAGATATCTCACCTCTCCCTGGGAATCGAGCCAGTGTCCCTTCGGTTGGAAGCCGAATGTCGAAATACAAGATGCCTCGCGTAAGCACCTGCATAATATTTTTTTTTTTTCGGTCAAACTGGTCTGCTTACGGCCACCCTCCGTCTCCCCTCCCTTGACGTGCTGGGGAATGGAGGGAGGGGAGAGGGGGAGGGGAGGAGGGGGAGGGGTGGCACGCACCAATATAAAGGCGGCACCAGACAGAGCCTCTAGATCAGTGAACACCCAGAAGGCTTGCTGGCAACTCTCCGAGAGGGATATGTGAAGCTTCCTCAAGTGGTGGCAGCACCGAGGAGAGACTTTTATCGTGCAAGTGAACTGAGGAAGTGTTTTATTATTGTTAAAGAAGACATTAAGTGTGACCAAACATGAAGGTACACTCGACGTCGCCCATGGTGGTGGTTGCCAACAGGTTGCCCTTCCGCCTCGGTACTGATCCCAAGACCGGGAAACTAATTAGACTGCAATGGTGAGTACATGTTTAACATTTGAATAAACTAATAAATATAAAATACAGTGCCGACTAGTTGATAAGCAAGACACATGTGCAACGGTTAGGTATCTTTATTCCGAAACGTTTCGCCTACACAGTAGGCTTCTTCAGTCGAATACAGGCAAGGCAGCAGAAGCAGTGTAGATGTAATCAGTTCGTCACCCTTGAAGACGCAGTTTTGAGGTGATCAGTCCCTCAGACTGGAGAAGAGTATTGTTCCATAGTCTGGAACAATGTTCCAGAGCAAAACTCTTTTCCAGGCTGAGGGACTGATCACCTCGAAACTACATCTTCAAGAGTAACGAAATAATTACATCAACTTTACACCTCTGCTGCTTCTAATCCCTCCTCTGTATTCGACTGAAGAAAGCTACTATGTAGGCGAAACGTTTCGGAATAAAGATACCTAACCGTTGCACATGTACACGTAATTAAGCTAGGGATGAGGGGATATGCACGAACTTATTCATTATGGACACCATGACTGTAGACGTTTGAGGTCTTTGACCCTTGAATACGTCACCTTTTCAGCAAATCCGAAGTGTATGCGTTCTTATCATTTCCCTTAAGTTATCAGTAGTAATTTTGTATTAATGTTGGTATAATTACCGACAATATGTTAGGTAAAAGAACACAAGTGCAACCAATGTCACATTAGTTGCACATGTGTCCTCTTACCTAGTAGTAATTTTCCTGCTCACAACATAAGTGGGGATGTTTGCAATACAGCGAATAGAAACCTTGGCTTTATATCAAGAAGCATAATTAATAGGAGTCCTCGGGTTGTTCTTCAACTCTATACGTCGAAGATTGGGACACTTATGCAGCATATGGGAATCTTTATTCAGGAAACGTTTCGCCACACAGTGGCTTCATCAGTCCAATACAAAGAGGAAGCCGTAAGGAGAGGAGGAGTCTGAGGTAATCAGTCCCTCAGCCTGGAGTCGATGTGTTCAGTCCATCAATCTTGTAGAATGTACAGCATAGGGCCGTAGACGTGGCTTATATACTGTAGTGAGGTGAAGCAGGCGGAGGCGGGGTCATAGTGGTACCACCACAAAAAATTCTTAAACACTTGTTCAACCTTTGGACGAAGACCTACTTCGACTAGTGGATGGTACCACTATGACCCCGCCTCCACCTGCTTCACGTCACCTCACTCCAGTATATAAGCCACGTCTACGGCCCTATGCTGTACATTCTACAAGATTGATGGACTGAACACATCGACTCCAGGCTGAGGGACTGATTACCTCATACTCCTCCTCTCCTTACGGCTTCCTCTTTGTATTGGACTGATGAAGCCACTGTGTGGCGAAACGTTTCCTGAATAAAGATTCCCATATGCTGCATAAGTGTCCCAATCTTCAACTTGTCGGTTTTTCAAACCATTCATCACAACTCTATACGTCCTTGGTTAGGCCTCATTTAGATTATGCTGCAGTTTTGGTCACCGTATTACAGAATGGATATAAATGATCTGGAAAACATACAAAGGAGGATGACAAAGTTGATCCCATGTATCAGAAATCTTCCCAATGAGGATAGACTGAGGCCCTGAATCTGCACTCTCTAGAAAGGCGTAGAATTAGGGAGGATGTGATTGAGGTGTATAAATGGAAAACAGGAATAAATAGAGGGGATGTAAATAGCGTGCTAAAAATATCTAGCCTGGACAGGACTCGCAGCAATGGTTTTAAGTTGGAAAAATTCAGATTCAGGAAGGATGTAGGAAAGCACTGGTTTGGTAATAGAGTTGTGGACGAGTGGAACAAACTCCCAAGTACAGTTATAGAAGCTAAAACATTGTAGTTTTAAAAATAGGTTTGATAAATACATGAGTGGATGCGGGTGGGTGTGAGTTGGACCTGACTAGCTTGTGCTATTAGGTCATATGCCGTGCTCCTTCCTTAAGTGAATGTGACCTGACCTAACTAGGTTGGGTCATTGGTTTAAGCCGGTAAAAGACTTGGACCTGCCTCGCATGGGCCAGTAGGCCTGCTGCAGTGTTCCTTCTTTCTTATGTTCTTATGAAAAATACACGTATGTACTGATCAAGGGAACGTTTCGCCCCGAGTTTGTGAAACGTTTTCTTAATAAATGTCCCGAGCAGTTCATACGTGTCTAATCTAGATCCTATCGGTATCACCATACTACTGCCATCGGATGTGTAATATAATGGGGCGCTAGAGAGCACTCAGTTTTTTTTTTTTTTA